CTGCCACTTACTAAGCCACTAAGCTGTGCCAAGCCGCATGATGTACTCATTGGCCCCCAATGCTAGAAGCTCGCGTATTGACTCCTCAATGGCAGGCGTTTTGATCAAGCTTTTCACACCGCGCGAGTCCCATCCGTGCCTGGCTGCTCAGTGCAGAAATGATAATCACCGGCAGTTGTTCCTTCGTGTACAACTTGCGCACCACCTTCCTTGGACTTGCAGTAGCTGTCTTCTTGACAGCATGAAATTAATGCCATGCAGCCGAATGGCAGCACATGTTGCCCACTCATTTCGGGCATCATCACCTCATGACATCTCATGACGCTATTGCGCGCCAGGAAGGTTCGTGTGCCACGAGCAAACCAAGGCGCATCAAGCAGGAGCAGACTTGCTGGCCGCGAGATGAGGAACTCCAGAGCTGCCAGGCCGTGTGATACCACGTGTACCTGCAATTCTTACAGCGCACTCTCACCACACCAAGACCGTGCCCAGGCTAGTGCCCATGCTTTAATGCCCATGCTCGTCACGGTGACCAAACTGCAGGCCCTTGCCTCGTATCTGTCCATCTTCAACCTCACTATGACGTCTTACGCCAACAGGCGTGATCGGGCGTGATCAATGCGGAGTATGGCAAGCAATGCCATTACAGGGACGTCGGGTAATGCCCCCCCAAGAAGCAGGTGCGTGATGGTTTCGAGGTGGACTGGATCGTCATCAACGCACAGGATCGGCGGGCGTGATGTGCCAGCCTGCCAAGACAGAATGCGCTTCAATGCTACAGAATGCTACACACACATTTGTATGTGGATATGGTCGATAAGAATTCCAGAAACCAACGAACCGTGGCCATAGCGGGAGAGGGGTGCAAACCCTTCGGGTTCCCACCTCCGGAGAGCTTTTGGCTGTAGCCAGGCTCGAGCTGGAGTTTCTGCTTTGTGCCGTCAGAGTCCTTGCGGCCACCGCGGGGTTGCCTCGCGCCACAGGGACGAGAACCTCTGGTTTTTTTTCGTGGCAGGTCATATTCAGCCTCAGGCACCTCCGCGTTTCTTCTTCTTGAGTGGGGTGCAAAGGCCTATGGCCTATGGAAATCTAGAAGCACGTCCTGTCCAGAATGCAAGAAGGGGACACGCTCTTTATATAGATTTGAGCTGCTAAAAAAATCGGTGTCAATAACCGCTTCCCTGTTATGGCGCACCTTCAGTGACCTTCAGCTGGAATCCACTTGAGCTCTCAAACAAGGCACACCCCCTACATTGCAGATTCTCCGAAAGATCGTCACATCGTCACTGCGTCGAGCGAGACATGGATCGAAAAAGGCGTGGGGGTATCGCGGCGAACACGCACGCCCCCGCAATTGTCAGACGGATGTGGCCGCGCGTGCCGCAGTACACATCTCCCAGTTCCGGGAATGAGCCGATTCGTTCGTTTTCGGCATCGTCTTCAGCATCCCCTCTAGGACACGGATCCTCTGCTCCGCCTAGGCGTGTGGCAGCGTGACATTTTTGGAGCTCATTCCTTCCGCTGCGTGCTCATTTGGGAGCGGACCCAGAGCCCAACGGCCAAGGGCACTACAAGCCATCGACATCCTTCTTATACCCGCAGGACTGCCTGCAATCTCCGTCGCCTCCTTTTGCTTCTTCTTCTTCTTCGTCCTGGGCACCCCGAAGCCGAGACTCAGACCTTCCTGCGCTTCCTACGTGAGTACACCCGCTTCCATGCTGTTCGGGGCCTTGGGCGTTAGCCTTTGCAAAAAGATCCTTTCCATGTAAATTTGGAAAGACCCTGATCTGGAACAACTTCCTCCGAGGCCTTTGTGTACAATCGCAATTCTTGAAGTGCTGCCGCAGATGCACTCCGCTTTGCTCTGCTCGCAAAGACAGCGCCTTGCATGGCACATCAGAAGGCAACACATCGACAGGACAGCGATCGATGCAAAGCTCTTCTGGCTCCAGGGAACTGCTGGCATCCTTGGTGGAGGCGAACTGTCGTTGTCTTCTGCCTTCAACAACACAGGGGCAATCGGTTTGATAAGATGCAGGTGTTCTTTCTTGAGGCCCTGGATACTTCTTATGGGTGCCCACGGGAACAAGCCATGAAATTGTGACTGAGGTCCAATCGAGCTCACAACCGCGATCGGGTGAAAAGTTCAGTGGCATAGAAAGCTGACCCAAACCGCTAAACCAAAACGCTCAGGCGGCTGGTTGGACAGCCAAACTCCAACAAATGGCCAACACAGTTTCTCAAACACTTCGGTGTCTGATTTGCCAGCGCATGGCCTCCTCACCAGGCCATTGCTTCATTTTGTAGGGCAGAGTGAAACCTCATGCTCAGGCTGCGGGAATGAAACGCCCATAACTACCCTGGTCTTCGTGCCATGTTTTGCACTCTTGCACCATAAGCCAACCGCACCAAGACTGCGCTTCTGCGCCTATAATTGCCATGAGGACCCCCCCTTCCCATGCATTATTAAAGTAATAAAAGGAGCCCCCAAGCGACCCAAGGCAGGATCCCAGACCCTGGAATGAATCAACCCTACCCCAAATCAACAAGGCCAAAGTGTGGAGAAGGTGTCTCTGAAAAGGACCGTCAAAGGCTTCTGGGCTTCGAGGGCGGCACGGAATGTGGAGCCGACCCCTTGCTGGGACTCGACGACCAAATCACCGCCGTGCTTCCGAGCCACCTCTGACCCCACTCTTGAGCGCATGAACATAAAGTCCGGATGATCAGTATTTACGATGACTATAATAACTATTGACGAAGACGATGAATACAGGAAGGGGTATACAACCTGCCTCGCAGTGAGAAGGCTCCGGTCTGATCTGTTGGGATTCGTGCTGGTAGTGGTCAGTTGAGTTTTCATGAACATTTTCACAACACAAGGACATGCGCACTAAGCTTACACGCGCCATCTTGTTTGTCTCATCGTGGAATATGCTGCACCATGTGCAGAAATTGCAGGCGCAAACCTGTCGTCCTTTTGCAGGATTCGATGCTTCACATGCCTCCGAGCCTGGAAGCTTCCTAGTGGTACATTGCTGGATGACCTACACTGGGCTTTATGCACTTGATCCGATTGGAGCTCGGCACGCCTCTCGGCTGATGGACAAGCCGAGGCCGAGCCCGGAGTAGCGCCGGCTTTCGGAGGTGTCCTGTCAATCACGGCTCTTTAGCGTCACGAGTGGGTCATCCACAAGGCCCTCGGAGGTCCTCTTGGTCGAAAGGCCTCGGGAACAGTAGCTTTTGTTCAGCTCAATGATTCTGGTGGTTGCTTTTTCACTGGGTTGAACAGGAGCTTGCAAGGGAGTAGAAGTTGACCAACCATCACAATGTTCAAAGAACCACAGCATGGGTTATATTCTAGATTCGGACTGCCAACTTGCTGCAGATCTCAATCGCACTCAGAAGTACAAGCTGACCCCACCGACATGCTCAGAGACAAGGTGCCAAACGGCAAAAACTACAAAAGCCGAGCAAACTCCAGAACAAGACTTCCTGTCTGTGCTTCGACAGTGCCTTGCACAAGCCCCGACACCCAAGGGGTCCGTCCGTGCGCGGGCGGGCGGGCGTGGGTGCGAGGGTGTGTGTGTGTGTGTGTGTGTGTGTGTGTGTGTGTGTGTGTGTGTGTGTGTGTGTGTGTGTGTGTGTGTGTGTGTGTGTGTGTGTGTGTGTCTCTCTGTGTGTGTGTGTGTGTGTCTGTGTGTGTGTGTGTGTGTGTGTGTTTGTGTGTTTTTGTGTGTGTTGTGTGTGTGTGTGTGTGTGTGTGTCTGTCTGGTCTGTGGTGTGCGTCTCTGTGTGCGTCTCTGTGTGTGTGCGTCTCTGTGTGCTTGTGTTGTGTGTGTGGCGCGCGTGGTGTGTGGGTGTGTGTGTGGTGTGTGTGTGTGTGTGTGTGTGTGTGTCCTGTCTGTCTGTGTGTCTTCCTGTGTCTGTGTGTCTGTGGTCTGTGTGTGTGTGTGTGTGGTGTGTTGTTTGTGTGTGTGTGTGTCTGTTGCTGTTTCTGTTGTGTCTGTCTGTTGTGTGTGGTGTGTGTGTGTCTGTGTGTGTGTGTGTGTGTCTGTGTGTGTCTGTGTGTGTCCTGTGTGCTGTGCTGTGTGTGTCTGTGTGTGTGTGTGTGTGTGTGTGTGCGTCTGTGTGCGTCTGTGTGCGTCTGTGTGCGTCTGTGTGTGTCTGTGTGTGTGTGTGTGTGTGTGTGTGTGTGTGTGTGTGTGTGTGTGTGTGTGTGTGTGTGTGTGTGTGTTGTGTGTGTCTGTGTCTGTGTGTGTGTCCTGTGTGTGTGTGTGTTGGTGTGTGTGTGTCTGTGTGTGTGTGTGTGTGTGTGTGGTTGTGTGTGTGTGTGTGTGTGTGTGTGTGTGTGTGTGTGTGTGCGTGTGTGTGTGTGTGTGTGTGTGTGCCAACCCTGTTGCCAAGGGAGCAAGTGTGAAGAGCTGTTACCGTTAGAGCATGCAGGGGGATGTGGCATGAGATCAGGGACCACATCCAATGAAGCTACCTGATCTCATGGGATGCAGAACTTGGCCAGTTCTGTGTACCTGCGATTTTTTTCAGTCTGACTGATCTTTTTAGCAAGATGGGAGCTTCAGGATTGTGAGGTGTAGACCAGGTAAACAGGACCCCAAGACTTGGTGTGGAGATTGCACAAGTGTGCTCCAGGCAGTATTCGTTTATCGCACTGTCTGCAGCAGGATTGCCTGCCTGACACTATGGTCTTGATTGACCACTCTGAGCTCCCTGATCGGAGCAACAGCCTGTCAGCATTCTTTCCCCCTCAACTGCTGCACCTTTGAGCGAGTGAAATTGACTGTGTCTACAGTCTGCTGATGTTCAAAACAGATACTGAACAGGTCCTACGCCGGTTGTCGATCCATTCTGTTTGAGACTTCAGCCAGGGTTATCTCCACCCAAGTGATGTTGCGTGAGTGTTGGTTGGTACCATTGTTTACGCAGCGTGTTGAGAGTGTTCAAGTTCCTGTAGTGCTGTAGTCTTCCGTGTTAGCAGCGCAGAGATGTGGAATGCAGAATCCAGCCGCTGGCAGAGTGGTGACAAGTGGAACAAGCCCACTTACAACCAGTGGGGTCGTGAGGGTCGCGAGTCAGGCAATTGGTGGCCGCAAGAAAGCACAGGAGCCAGCAGCTATGGGTCTGAGAGTGTGCCGGCTCCAAAGCCCAGTTTCCCTGCATCCTTTCGAAGCGACGCAACCTTCATTGATTCGACTGCAGTAGGTTCCGGCAATCACCAGTTTTATCGACTTGTGCAGCCTACGGATTGGTCAAGAAAGGCGAACCTTGCCGGTCGCCCAGTTGAGGATATCAGAGTGCACGAGATGTGTTTCAGAGGACTGAATGAGTTTTCTCTTCGAATGCTTTCTGAAGGGCGTTTTCAGTCCCTTGTGTGGACACGCAGTGCTGCTGAGAGTGTGCTCACTACACAGTTGCTTAAAGCCATTCGTGATGCCAAGATTGACATTGACAGCGTTGCAGTAGAGTGCTTGAAGCAGAGCGGTGTCGCCATTCCTGACAAGCACAAGCAATCCTCACAGTTCATGGCTGCTCTTGTGGACTTGCTTGTGAGTGAGATGAAGAGCAAAATGCCCAAGACTGCTACTTCCCACACAGAAGATGAGCTTGCACGCGCCAAAGCTAAGTTGGCGCAAGCGGGACTTACGCTGACTCCGCAAAAGAGGAAAGCTGAAGAGGTTGATGCTTCTGCAGACGCAGCTGGATCCAGTCCGAGTACTAGGGTGATGAAAGCTGATGCGTCTGATGCTTCTCGGAAGAAGTGTAAGACAGCAGATGGCTCTTCGGCTGCTGAGGAAGTACGCTCCCTTCTCAAAGGTAAGCCGAAGGTTTCCCTCAAAGACTGCCGCCCGTCTGCCGTCACCAACGAGAGTGTAGACAAATGGCTTACGTCTCTCAAGCCTCAGTACAAGGGCAAGTACCGCAAGCTTACCAAGCATGTCAAGCATGTGGTTGAGATCTTGACTGAGCGTTCTGACAAGAATGAGATACGTGCAGCAGCCGTTGTGTTTGGTCTTAATCCGAACTTTGCTGCCCGCATGAACATTACTAATCTCAGCAAGTGCATCGCTGTTGCCAAGTTCCAAGCTGCGTGACTAGCTTGGTGTGTGGAGCGCACGCAAACCTCATGGACTCTGACACGCCAGAAGCTTTTGCATGACATTTGTTTGCTTGGGCAAGCCCTTACCTTTTTCAAACATGAGTGCTTGCATCTTCCGAAAGCAGACGTGAATTGGTCGCAAGGTCTTTTGCATCTAGTTTTGCTGTTTCACTTTCAGCAGCCGGGGAAGTCGTCGTGGGGACAAGCTCTCAAAGCAAAGTTATTGTCCATGGACGTCACTCCTATGCGGTATTCGTGGCCTAAATTTCGCGAACTATGTGCAGTGTATATCAAGGTGGCAGTCGACTGGAGATGCTATGGCACTATTCAGCAGTATCGCCAGCCGTCAGCAATGATGTACATTGGTTCTACAGCAGTATCAGTGACTCTGCGCGAATCCAATCGTATGTCGGTTCTGCGTAAGTTGGAACAGGGACAGGAAGTGCAAGCAGAGTTGTCCATCAGATACTGGCATCAGAATCAATGTTTTCAGCAGTTTACACTTTTACAGATTGCTTCATGTTCAACATACAAACAGGCGTGGACATTGGAACATCTACTGATTTCGCAGTGGCAACCGAAGCTCAACTATCCATTTGTGCAGGTATTTCTCAAACGTACAGCTTTGGGATTTCGCCCGGCCAAACAACAGCGACATACAGCCTTCGGCAAATTTGGAGTTCGTCTCTGGCGTAAGTTCCGGAAGAGACTCCATGTTTCGTCGCAGCCGTTGTGCTTTGCTGTGACCCGTAGACATGCGTGGGAGTTGCTCTTTGACATTGCCAGTTTCACCAGAGCCAGCTTTGAAGCTTTGAAGTTGTTGCGCAGCGAGCGTTTTGTGGATGACGACGTATATGCCATCCTTCGTCTCAGTTTGAGTCTGGAAGAGCCGCTGAAGACCCGTGTACGGCAGTTGCTTAGAGGTGTGGTAAGGCACCGACTAATGACTTGGCCGAGTGGTCATTCATCTTTGAGAATTCCTTTCCTTGCTCACGCTGGATTTGCTCACAGTCTGGAGCGTTGGCTGAGTGCAACAGTTCAGAGATTCAAGCATGTGCTTGTGCCTTTTCATCTTCCTAGTCGGAAAATCCGTGAGACCAAGCATCAAGCCTGCAAGGATTTGCTTCACAATGTTCCCAAGTGGGATCAGTTCCTGCAGCAGAATGGAACTCAGCAGTTACCGTGCCCATGTGCTCAGTTCCGAGATCGCCTGTCTCCAGTGTGCTTTGTGCAGGGACATGTGGCCACTGGCGTTGAAATGCTCGGAGCAATTCATTCGGAGTTGCAGTTTTTGGGACAGGGTAGCGCTAATTCTACATTCTTTCCGTCGCTGCAGCAGTATCTGCGTGTCGCTTGCAAAGGGTTTGGTACTTGGAGAAAAGTGCATGGCTTACCCCTGTGCCTTGAGGACGACTTTGTTGAGTTTTTGAAACAGCAGTGGCACTTACATTCAGCTTCTGTTCAGCAACATCATCGGCTGGATTGGCGGCTGGTACAAAGATGTAAGCAGGCGTTGAACCCCTTTGTGGTTCACTGCGAGGATCACCACCCGAACCACCTGATGGTGTTCTGCCCACAATTTTACTTTGCTAGCGTTTTGCGCACGTGGTCTGATCCCCTAGTGTTTGAGCCGTTGAGCAGTAGTTCTGATGAGTTGCGGTCATGGCTGTTCGCGCAGATTCCAGCTGCTTTGAAGAGGCAGTATCCGTGGGGAGTTGACTTGAAAGGTTCTCTGCCTGTTGGATTTGTGCTTCTCAAACGGAAGAAACAGTTTCTCAAAGGACGCACCATTGTGTCCTACTTACATGCTCCTTTGCGAAAACTACTCAACGCAACTGCTTATGTCATCCAGCTGATGGTTCGCGCTATTTGGCCCAGCATCGAAGAGTCACTTCCCGCCACATGGCGGAAACTTCATTTTCTGCTGCGGGATTTGCCGACTCATGTGCAGCTTCTTGAGTTCAATGATGATCTAGTTGGTTTTTTCAACAGTGTTCCTCGTGACATGATTGTGCATGCTTTGGAAGTGCTGATTCAGCAGTATGTGGAGTCTACAGGAACGGACATGTTTGCAATTGATCTGCGTGCAAACAAGCCCACTTCAGAGAGAGCGCTGCCGCATAGGCCAAGGGGTGGTGCTTCTGTGCACACACGTGTGCTGCATCTCAAGCATGTTGTCAGCGTTGTGCAGTTGTCGTTTCTGACTGGTGTCTTTGTAGCAAATCACCAGTGTTATCGGCAAATTCGTGGGACTTGCATTGGCAACCAGATATCTCCAGTGCTATCCAGTCTTCCGGTAATTCTTCGTGAAAGAGTATGGCAAAGGTCATTTCAGCTGCAGATTGCGCAGCAGGGTATTCTTCCGAACCACATCTTTATTTGCAGGTATGTGGACAACCGTCTCATGCTATGCGACGCATCGTGCAGTCAACTTGGTACAGTGCGGGAATTCCTTCACTCCGGCTTCTATGGATCGTCTATTGAGCTGGAAGCAGTTACAGATCATTCCTTTCTTGGATTTACGATATCAATGGAGCAGCGTACAGTGCAACACAATCAGCCAATCATGCCATGGCAGATTCGCCATTTTTGCAGCGCTGGTTCCATGCGAGTGCGGGTTGCTGGGTTTCATTCCAGGAAAGCTCTGATTCAGAAATATGCGTGGCCTCCTAGTGACCGCCGCCGTCAGGTAGACTTGCTGCGTCAGCTGTACCGACTTAAAGGTTTCGTGTTGTGACTATTGTAGAATTTCTGATCGTGCCAACATGTTTCACTCAAACAACGCTTCGGATTGGTCTTAGTCACGCACCTGTCCCCAAGTTGAAAAAGCTGCTGAGATGTGAGCGGTTTGCGCTATCGCTTGAACCCCTACAAGTCTTTGATGGAACACGTTTGCGCCTTGAGCTTGTGCTTCAGATCTGATTTGCTTTCACTTTCAATTTTGCTCAGAACGACGGTTGCTTCTAGCACAGGAGACGTGAGTCTTAGCGCGCTTGTACCTATAGTGCCTAGAGCTATGCCACGTGGTCGAAGCAGGTCGCGTGAGGGTCGGCGCAGAGTTAGGGAGCATTCGCCCTTGGACACACACCGAAATCGCGCACCTCCTGGTGCCTTTTTGCCACCTTTGCAGCGCCGACGTGTAGTTCGTGATGATGGGCATGGAGGTGCAGCGTCAGTGTCTGCGTCAGAGTCAGTGGTCAGCAGCAGACGTTCTGACTATCCAGTAGATGTACGCTTTCCAGTTTCCCGTGCCGCTTCTGATTGCGCATCTTCGGTTACTTCTGATGTCTCTCTGGCCCCACCCGTGGAGTGGGTTGGCAATGCTGCTAATGCTGCAGTAATGCAAGTGGATGCTGCACGTGCTTGCGAGTCTTCGCCGAGTGCATATCCTATTGCTCAGCAGCAGTATCCGCCCCAAACATGGCTGAGTCCGCCGATGGTCATTCAGCAAGGTGATGCCCCTGGTACTTGTCCACCAGCTAGTATGCCTGTGGTTGCACCTCCGCCGCCACCCCCGCCTCAGCCTGCGCCTTCGGTTCCACTGCCTTTTGACGCGGCAGGAATGTTGCCTGTGCAGCCAAACGTGGGCACACCAGTGCTTGTTTCTGCAAAGGTTCCGGGAGTGTTATCCAAGGCTTCAGGACCTCCGCTAGCGCTGTCTCAGTCACACACGCCTAGTCCTGCAGCGGCTGTAGCTGCTATTGTAGCTCGACATACAGCGGACTCTGCAGTTGCACCGGGTGATCCAGGGGCTGAACTTACATTGAGCCAAGCTGAGAGCACGCTTCTGGACGAGACTTCCATGTATCAGTTGTTGGTGCAAGATCAGATGATCAGTCCTATGTCTCACTTTTGGCAGCTTCCTTCGCCTGAACTCATCAAGTTTTCTGCGGGTAGAGCCAGATGGTTGCAAGTGCAAGTTTCTTCGTGGCAGCGAGTGATTCTCACTGACTTGCAGCGTTGCGTGCAGTACATGCTCAGTCTGTTGCCAGCAGATTTTCGCAATTCGGACCAGCAGAGATTGTGGCAGCTGCAACCTTCAGTCATGCTTTCATTCTGCAGAGCGATGGTAGCAGTGAATCTTCCGTATCAAAGTATGTTTCAGACGCCAGCACGCGTTTGGGCATGTGGTGACCGTGTAGTTTGGGAGTACTCTTCTGACAAGTTCCCCGGACCGTTGACTGCGCCCACCACTGCAAGCACGGGCTTTTACCGCTGGTACCACTGCGGAGCTGATGTGACTCTCATCGGTGTGTTCACCTGCGGTAGGCTGCTGCGTACGTGTGCTGAAACCGTGAACATGTCAGCAGCTGAGACGCCATATGCGTTTTTTGGTCGGGCTGGATATGAAGGCCAAGCAAGGGATGAGGCCAAGAAAGCTGCGGAACTTGTGATGCACCCCAAGAATCGGACTGGTGTGCTAGTGAGCGGACGCATCGTCACGTGTCACCACAAGATGACTTCTTCAAGCACCTATTGGGAAACCTTAGCCTGCAGAGAACATGAATTGGTGAAGAGCGCATCCAGTGACAAACGCTGGGCGATCCGTGAGAGCTCGGCTCGCATTGATAGATTCTACCTGGTCTGCGTTAGGCCGGCTTCCGAAGCGCAGATACCCAGTTGGGATGCCATTCAGGCACCAGAGCAGCAACACATGCTTAGATCCTTCATGAGCAACATGCCGGTAGAGGATTGGTCCTGAAGCTCGCCACTTTGCACTGTCGTTTTTGCTTCTGTCTGCCGCTGTAGCGCGTAAGTCGCTAATGCTGAGCTTGACTGAGCCGCTCAAAATTCGCATGACATTTTCTGATTGCTGCGCACCATGACGGAAAACGCAGTTTTAGTACAGCCTGTATGAGCTGCGCTGCCATGTATGTTAGTGAGGGATTTGCGCTGACTTGCAGTTGCACCTAGCCTCATCCCTGAGCTTGCGCTTGCACCTCCTTGCGCTTCCTTACCGATTGCAAAGCGGAGTCATCTGTCAGCTTTTCCGTCTCGAGACCAATTTCAGCGTAGTGCGTGGGAAGGATGTCGTCCCCTGAAGTAGCGCCTTCTGCGTGGATTGCTGTCGTAGTCGCCAGGCAATCCCATGTTGTGCCAAGATGTGCCCACGATGCTATCAGAAATTAGCTTGACAGTGCTTGATACTTTACGTCCATCTGCGGTTGCAGCTTCTCATGCTTCCTTCGGATTACACCACTGACGCCAGCATGTCATACGCACCAGTAGTGGCCAGGCTTGTCTCACCGGGAGCGATTCTTCGCATGACTTCTGTTTGTCTTGATTGAGTGAAAGCACCGCTTGCGAGGGATCTGGTAGTGCACCCTGTTCATGGTCTGATGCCGCTACATGTTCTTGAACTTGAACTTGACTTTATGCTTGTGTGCTCAACGGCAGCAAGAGCTCCACTCTTCTGATTGAAGGGTGTGTGTGTGTGCCAACCCTGTTGCCAAGGGAGCAAGTGTGAAGAGCTGTTACCGTTTGGACAGAAAGTGCGAGATTAGGAGGAAGTGCGCCAATTCTGATGTCTGTTGTGCTCATAGAATGCCGCGTGACTGAGCAATCAACGCTTTAGAGAGCATGCAGGGGGATGTGGCGTGAGATCAGGGACCACATCCAATGAAGCTACCTGATCTCATGGGATGCAGAACTTGGCCAGTTCTGTGTACCTGCGATTTCTTCAGTCTCACGAATCATTTTAGCAAGTTGGGAACTTCAGGATTGTGAGGTGTAGACCAGGTAAACAGGACCCCAAGACTTGGTGTGGAGATTGCACAAGTGTGCTCCAGGCAGTATTCGTCTATCGCACTGTCTGCAGCAGGGTTGCCTGCCTGATACTATGGTCTTGATTGACCATCCTGAGCTCCCTGATCGGAGCAACAGCCTGTCAGCATTTCCCCCCTCAACTGCTGCACCTTTGAGCGAGTGAAATTGACTGTGTCCACAGTCTGCTGATGTTCAAACCAGATACCGAACAGGTCCTACGCCAGTTGTCGATCCATCCTGTTAGAGACTTCAGCCAGGGTTATCTCCACCCAAGTGATGTTGCGTGAGTGTTGATCGGTGTACCATTGTTTACGCAGCGTGTTGAGAGTGATCAAGTTCCTGTAGTGCTGTAGTCTTCCGTGTCAGCAGCGCAGAGATGTGGAATGCAGAATGCTGCGCGTAGAGCCAGACGGTTGCAAGTGCAAGTTTCTTCGTGGCACCGAGTGACTCGAGTGATTCTCACTGACTTGCAGCGTTGCGTGCAGTACATGCTCAGTCTGTTGCCAGCAGATTTTCGCAAGTCTGACCAGCAGAGATTGTGGCAGCTGCACATGTTCTTGAACTTGAACTTGACTTTATGCTTGCAGCTCCACTCTTCCGATTGAAGGGTGTGTGTGTGCCAACCCTGTTGCCAAAAGAAAGAGTGTGAAGAGCTGTTACCGTTAGAGCATGCAGGGGGCTCCCTGATCGGAGCAACAGCCTGTCAGTTTTTTCCCCCCCTCAACTGCTGCACCTTTGAGCGAGTGAAATTGACTGTGTCCACAGTCTGCTGATGTTCAAACCAGATACCGAACAGGTCCTACGCCAGTTGTCGATCCATCCTGTTAGAGACTTCAGCCAGGGTTATCTCCACCCAAGTGATGTTGCGTGAGTGTTGGTCGGTGTACCATTGTTTACGCAGCGTGTTGAGAGTGATCAAGTTCCTGTAGTGCTGTAGTCTTCCGTGTTAGCAGCGCAGAGATGTGGAATGCAGAATCCTGCGGGTAGAGCCAGATGGTTGCAAGTGCAAGTTTCCTCGTGGCAGCGAGTGATTCTCACTGACTTGCAGCGTTGCGTGCAGTACATGCTCAGTCTGTTGCCAGCAGCTTTTCGCAATTCTGACCAGCAGAGATTGTGGCAGCTGCACATGTTCTTGATCTTGAACTTGACTTTATGCTTGTGCTCAATGGCTGCAAGAGCTCCACTCTTCTGATTGAAGGGTGTGTGTGTGTGCCAACCCTGTTGCCAAGGGAGCAAGTGTGAAGAGCTGTTACCGTTAGAGCATGCAGGGGGATGTGGCATGAGATCAGGGACCACATCCAATGAAGCTACCTGATCTCATGGGATGCAGAACTTGGCCAGTTCTGTGTACCTGCGATTTTTTTCAGTCTGACTGATCTTTTTAGCAAGATGGGAGCTTCAGGATTGTGAGGTGTAGACCAGGTAAACAGGACCCCAAGACTTGGTGTGGAGATTGCACAAGTGTCTGTGTGTGTGTCTGTGTGTTCTGTTGTCTGTGTGTGTCTGTGTGCGTCTGTGTGTGTCTGTGTGTGTCTGTGTGTGTCTCTGTGTGTGTGTCTGTGTGTGTGTGTGTGTGTGTGTGTCTGTGTGTGTGTGTGTCTGTGTGTGTGTGTGTGTGTGTCTGTGTGTGTGTGTGTGTGTCTCTGTGTGTGTGTGTGTGTCTGTTGTCTGTGCGTGTCTGTTGTCTGTGTGTGTCTGTTGTCTGTGTGTGTGTGTGTGTGTGTCTGTCTGTTGTCTGTGTGTGTCTGTTGTCTGTGTGTGTCTGTTGTCTGTGTGTGTCTGTGTGTGTGTCTGTGTGTGTCTGTGTGTGTTTGTGTATGTCTGTTGTCTGTGTGTGTCTGTTGTCTGTGTGTGTCTGAGTGTGTCTGTGTGTGTGTCTGTGTGTGTCTGTTGTCTGTGTGTGTCTGTGTGTGTCTGTGTGTGTCTGTGCGTGCGTGCGTGGGTGGGTGGGTGTGTGCGTGCGTGGGTGGGTTGAAGCCAGGACAGCCCTTCGGAACCCCGTCAGGGGGCTCGAAGATGCGATCGACGTTCTCAGCTGCAATGCCGATACCTCAGTTGGCAGCTCAGGCGTCTTTGTTGAAGGATCAGTTCAGGGACTTCAGGTTAAGAGGGTTCTTCCACATGCCGCTGCCTACACCTTTAAACAGGGCTTTCTCTGCTGTGCGACGTCACGCCTGTCTACCGTCTACAGAGCAAACGCGAGGCCCTTACCTGTATCCTCGATTTCGGTGCACACGACCTGTTCGTCATCGTTGAAGCCGCATGAGATCACAATGGAGCCATCATGCGTGAACCTGCCAAGATAGGAGACAAGATCACTGCCGAAGTTAGCTCATTGCTGGTCTTTCTCCTGGAATGCGATGCCGAGGTGCTTCATTGCATTTGTGATCAGATTGTACACAAGCTGCGTGCAGCGATAAGCATCAGCTTCGATGATGGGCAGCGGTTCCTTCACATTGTTGATTATCTGTACGCCTCGCAGGGTGTGCGCAAACAACAGGCGGATTGCCATCAGTGTACTCTGCACAAACGAACATCCAACATGCGACAGCTCCCGTTGCCCGTGTAAGCTGCACCTGGTCTCAGCATGGGTTGCCCATCTTTTCCGCTTGTTGCCGAAAGGCAAAGAGTTACGACTTCTTGTATGATGTCCTTCATTTGGACAGGATCCTTTGACATTCGCATCTTCTTGTCGTTCACAAGAACTGACCTTAGACCAGCTAGGGCACCCATTACGTTGCAGCATGAGCTCCCCTGCAGACGAGAGGCGTGTCCATGATGTTGGCAACCATGTCCAGCAAGCGGTTTGCGCAGCTGTACATCGCCGACAAAGATGTGCCAACCCTGCTTGCGTCCAGGTTTGTATCTCCCATTAGGGAGCTGCAAAGACCAAGGATGCCGTGTAGTGGACTCTTCAGCTCATGAGAAACCATTGCCATCATTGATGCCTTGCGCTCATCTAGGTCTTTGAGTCTTGTGATATCTTGGCCGATGCAGATGGCTCCGCTGATCTCGCCCGAGACGGCAACACATGGTGTCGCCGTAAGAAGCAACGTGATTTTCTGGTCTTCTTGATTCACCAAATTCACTTCGAAGCGTTCCGCATCGCAATAGTTGAGAACCTTCCGGCAGGCATCCTCCAGGGACTTCAGGCTATTCGAACGGCCCACGAATGATCTTAAGTCCTGTATAGTCCTACCTGCGAGAATGCCCAGTGCCCTGTCGCCAGTGCTGACCCACACGTGGGACAAAAGCCTTGGGCCTTTCGTTCGGGATGATATTTTGCGCAGGCGATGCAACTGCGGCTGTGCCTTCGCAGTCCTTCTCATTAGATTCTGACAAAGCCATGGAGGTACTAATAGTAGGTCACAAAGGATACTTCGCCGCGGGATTCTGTCGCGGTTGCTTTCAAGCATACGGCAGGACACTGCAGAGATTCTCTGGGACTCGGGGTTCAACGGCATGCTCTGCGGGATTCTTGCATGCGCGTGCATCGAGGCATACTCGGCGGGACTTTCTGCAGGACACTAGGGCACTGGTGACACAGGAGGCCGGGCAAGGAGCATGGGCGACGAGAAAGACCAAAAATCTAACAAACCCCACACAAAGGGTGGAGGAAAAACAAACTCGAGAAGGAAAACGATGCTGTCACAGTTCCCTTGCGTCCTGGAACTTCTTCTTTGAACCTGGGCTGAGTACCTCGGAGATGTGACAGCCCAGGGTGCTGTCCCGGGACAGCCCAGTGGCATTTTCCAGCCACTTGTTCCAGATGACGATGTTGTCCGACAAGTCGACTTGGAAAATGGGTGCGTTCGCCTTCGCTCTTTGCAACCCCTTCTTTGCAGCTTCTCCTCTTTTCCTACACCCCGCCCTAGTGTACATCTGGCCCTTGTCTCAGGCAAGGCGCTGATACGATCAAGCCTTGCTTGGCCAGAAGTCAGAAACACGCATGGAACATGAGTGGCCCACCCACCCTGGTAATGCGACACTTGCGAAATCGTTTCTGCCGAGATTGGTACGAGCCAGCAAACACTCAGTAGACTAGAGATCGTACCATGTACCGGGATGCTTTGGCACCTCCTGAAGTTGCAGAATAAATTTGACTAAATTTTCTGTCCTGCCAAAAGGCAGGCATACCTTTGCACAAACACTTGAAACAATGTAGTATGACTACTTATGAATGGGCTTCTTCTTTACATTTTTTGGGGCTTCCCGCCCCAGTCGTGGGTCAGAGTGCAGGTTCAGGGTGGCACCTTAAAGGTTCTCCCCAACGTCTCCTTGGGCTGACTTAAGGTTTTCCCACAGAGACGCACAACACGAACTTCTGGCGGCTCCACGCAAAGCCACTGAACTACCTGCTGTGTGGCAGCAGTGCTGCCCTGGCATCGCCTGGATCGGATTCTGAAGTCTACTAGTCAATGCTCCTGCTCGACGCCTACTGTGCCCAGCTCAAGCAGGCTGATCGATTTCCGGTTCAATGAGACCAGCTCTCAGCAGCCCCCTTTGGGGGCCGCTCAGTCAGAACCTATCGGATAACCGAAGGTTTTTTTTTGGCCCGGCCGCACCCAAAACACCAAGGCGTGCACAACCTCGAACAAAATCGGCGCGAGCAGTCGACGGGGATTGCCCGTGTGCACCCTCGAAGCGGCCCCTGTGTTCACCAACTTGCAACCCTTTGGAAAAAACCTCAGCCAGGCGGCGATTCAATCCGTCTGCCAAACGTTGCGCCCTGCGCCTCTCCTTAAGGCAGAGACGGACATAAATGCTGCTAAATGCTGCCTCCGGATCACCCTCCCAGCTGTCCCGCTGTCCCGAGCCGGGTGCCGCAACACAAATGTGACAAGCAAGGTCACCAGGACACCCGTTGCCAAGAGTCCGATGTGATGGCTGAGATGTCTTGTCCTATGCCTGAACAAGATGTGCTGAAAGGCTATCTTCATGAGTCATTCATGTGAATATACTGGGTCGAAGTCCAGAAAGTCCAGGACCAACATCAACAATCAACTTCGCGAAGCCTTAACAAAAGAACTCGGCAGGCCAAGCTGCACACTGCGCCCCTGACGTTGCCGCTGCCCGTGCGGAGGCAAGTTGCGGAGATTGCCATGACACTTTCCCTGGTCTGATCGTTGACATCCTTGAAGTTCATCCTAGGCTCCCCAAGTAGGCATGAGCCTGAGGCACCCTGCGTTTCAGCCGCGGCTCTCAACAACATTCGGCTCGAGCTCGTCCATGGCATCTTGCAGAAGACTACCTGGTACACTTGCGCGCTGAGCTTTCAGACTGGGCATCCATGCGGTTGCAGCACGCAACGTGTGCCTGCAGTTAACCCCCAAGAAGCCAGCTCATCGCCCGAAGCTAGGTCCTTGGGATGACGGGCTTTTGTTGTCATCTCTGACTCCGGAAAGACAAAAAAAACCCTTCCGAACAGAGCCATGGATGACAAGAAGTCAACAAGCACCCTGTAGAATGAACAGGATGAATTGACACGTGAGCTCACGTGAGGCCTTTTGTCGCTAATCTCTGGTTCACCTTGTAACTGGTTGAACGTGGACAACTAGAAGAATTTAGGGTGCATAGAAGTAATATGCTCGCTAGGACCCGTGCTTCTGAAGGGGGGCCTGGCTCCAAAGGAACCCTGGAGCCTAAAACAACACGACGCCAACCCTACTTCTGAGGCCGGCGCGATCAGAAAACAACTTCAGTGCAACACTTCAAGCGTTGCAGACAGGTCCAAGGACTCCCGACAAGTGAGCGCCCAGGGGACGAGAGCCCGTCACTACTGGCCATCTCAAAGCAGTGTCAAGCATGACTGGAGGAAAGCAAAGACCTGGAGACCCAGAGACTGCGGGGAAGGCCAGCAAATGGTCAGGAAGCGGCTGTTGCTATAGAATTATTATTATGAAGAGCGCCCATGAACATATTGAAGCCTGGATGCTGTTCGTACTGTGAACGTGAGCGAGATGCACCCTACATCCAACATCCCCATAAACATTTGCATCCCTTTTTTGGAAGTTGGATTCATGCTACGCTTGTTCACGGGTCTTTTCCACTTCGATACCGCCAAGTCTTTACTCCTCTTAGAAGCATACTGACAATGTACTTTGAATATTCCGAGAGGTAATTCTCACAACAATGAAGCAGAATTCCACAGAATTCCTGAGGAAACTATAGAAGTCTCTTGCTGAGGAGCTGGAAGGTACTTGCCGACGGCTTCGTGGTGAGGAATGCCTCAGAGACCCTGAACTGCCCCATATATTTAACAACATATTTTTCTCAAACTCTCAAACTCCAGATTCTGCCATTCTTCATCCGCTCAGGCCTGTCACCTGTGCGGTCTTCAGATTCCAGTCCTAGAGGGCAAGGAGCCGGGTGCAGCACTCCAGTATTAGACAGTATTAGCATAGACAGTAATATACAGGCTACTTTAGGCTACTTTGGGCCCCCGCCTCCACTTCCAGCTGCATATTCACGACGAAGATGGGCACCTTAAGTCCCCACCAGTCTGAAGACAACTTCCGTACTGAAGCAAGAAAAACTGCATGAAGCAATTGAAGTGTCAAGAGCTCTGCGCATCTCTACGCCCTCAAGGACTCAAGGAATGCTGGCAAGGTGCGTTCGCCTGCCGGATCATGCACTGGAGATCTGTGGCTGCATTGACAGCAGCCTGTCCTGCGTGGCACTCCGCATCTGTGTGGTTCGGAATGCTCGGCGGAGCCCGGGAACCCTCCGTGAACCCTCCGCGAACCCCTCCGGATCAGGATTCAGCTCAAGCGTCGCAAGAGGCTCAGCTGCTGGAGCTTGTTCTTCCGACGCAGGCTCATGGTGAAGCAGGAGTGCAAGAACTTGGCGGACACGTCCGCGAAGCTGTACAGGAGTTGCTCCTTTGGAGTTCATGTCTGACCACACAGGCTGAGCATTCTCAGATGCTTTCGGCTATGGGGCGCACCGTTCGCCAAGAGTAGCAGTTCAGAACGGCCCCAAGGTAGATGACACCGTAGATCCCGGCCAGAACTACCTTGGTCAACTGCTTCATTTGATGGCCCTCTTTGAGTTTTCTCATCTAGCTTGAAACTGTTTTGGGCAGTGTTTGGGTGCTCGATGTTGCGCCTGGAAGAGCAGGAGAGGGGCCCACTCCTCAGCCCAGCTCTTTGCGGAGTCTCCAAACAGCTCGGGGTTTGACTCGGATTGACTGTTTGACCGGTGTGACGGTGATAGATAGACTCGACTGCCAAGCGAGTTTATGGTTCCAAGTGTCGGCGTTCTCCTTTGTCGTCCGCAAGATGGAAACTTGCACCAGCCTGAATCAGCACGCGCATCCAACAAAAATGTCGAGCCGCGCGACTACATGACAATTCGACACTGTAGTTTGCAGCCGCAAATCTGTTCCAAAGCTGCCACGGCATAGGCAGCGAAAGAAACCTCGCTTCTGCGCATGCTTTGCTTTTGGGCAAATTGCGCGCTAGGACTTGCTTTGCCTTCGAAATGCTTATGGTAGCCACGTCGCACATAATAAGAGCCAGCGTGTGAACTCAGGGGCCAATTCGATTCTCAAATGGCATGTCGACCCAGCAACTTACAAACACCTGCCTCATCAACTACAATCAGGGCGAGCCATGATGACCAAATATAGATGCAGGTACCTGGGTTGCGTGCGCAATATGCAGCAAGTCGGGAAGAAGACAGAAACATCAAGAGATCCTGAACACGAAAGATGGAAGCATCCGGAAATCATAGAATATGAAGTGAACCTGGAAGAAGACAGAAACATCCGGAAATGTCCAAACATGAAAGTCAGAAGCATGCGGAGAACATGGCGTGCGAAGCGACTCGGAAAGAAGATTCGGAAACATCCGGTAATGTCCCAGAATGTCCCAATACTTGCACCATCGTGGCCGCCTTGCTCTTCTTGGAAATGCAGGTCGCGTCTGCTCGGCAATTTCTTGGAATACCTACCATTGCGGTATGTTGTCATGGTCCTTGCTTCTTGGGTTGGCCTTAAGTCTTGCGCCGCCCTCAGACGTAGTGGCTGGTGTGTCCTTCCGTTTTCCTTCACCCTCAGAAGCAGGGCTGGAGGTTTCCTAACGTTGTGAAGTGCTTTTCTCTGGATAGCCCGCTCGGAGGGGCTACTAGCTGTGTGTTGTCATGGTCTGGCATTCGTGGCCGCTTTGTTCATTGGTTCTTGGAAGTGTATGTAGTGTTTGGCCGTCGGGTTCTCGGAAGTGTACCTGCCGTCGTGGTCAAAGTTCCGTCGTCTTGAAAGTCTTACCCACCGTCGTGGCTGCTGGTTCTTGGCAGTGTATGTTTTGTAGCATCTAGTCTCTTGGTTCTTGGAAGTGTGCCTGCCGTTGTGGTCGTGGTATGTCGTGGCTCTTGGAACCATCGTCTTGGAAGTTGTACCTACCGCCGTGATCGCCTGGTTCTTGGGTGTATGTCGCGCCTGGTCGCCGGGCCATTGGAAGTGCACCTGCCGTTGTGGTCATGGTTATTGGAAATGTATCTGCTGTCGTCTCGGAAGTGTTGCCTTATTACTGTGCAGCGCCGGCAAAGCCAAGCTCTGTTTTTAAGCCGCTATTGAACATCTCTTCGCTCTCAAGTTTCTCTGCGGCTCCCCACAACATCCCGGCGAAACAATCGTTTCCAGAACCACAGCGAGTGCTGTCGCGCTTTCTCTAGGGAGATGCGGAAGCCTTCAGGCCTTCAGGCACACAAAAACTCCGGATGCCCTAAATCGAAACTCGAACACCTCCCACGTTCAGCGCCACGCTGCATCGCGCGGAGGGTGCAATTGCCATGTTGCGGAGTCGGCTGCTCACCACCACCGGGATGCTTGCAAGCATGTTTACCTCCCCATGTTCTCCACAACTAACCCCACAGCTCGACAAATCCCCTCATCATGTTTTCATGTTTGTAGAGCAATGGGCACACTGCCTGCTGCATGCACCAGGATTTCCGTCGGCCCTGCGTCCCTGACCGAGAATCATCCGTTTCGCCTCCGCACATACACACTTACATAATTACTTGCCAAGGAGACCCAGCATCCAGCGGCCAAGATTGCAAAGGACAACCCTTCCAGCTTCAAGAATACACGCTTGCTGCTTCAGAGCTCAGAAGAGGTGTCCCAAAAGTGGCTTGCTTGTGGTGGTAAACCAGGGGAGGCCAGATCTGGGTTCGTGAGACTGCGGCAGACGAATTTCCGACTCCGGCAGACTCAAGAATGCTTCCGAAACTGCCAACCTCTCAACCTCTCACCATATGCCAGGGGCCGAGCATATGGCCCACACCAGCAGGTTTGTTAAGTTTGTGAGTCGCCCCCGTATGAATCCGGCACTACTTGGCAGTCTAAGAAAATGGACCCTTCCCGGCACCTTCTTCAAGCTCGGGATTGCCAGAGAGAGCCAGAAGAAGCGGCATGCAAATACTCCACCTGATCTCGTCGCAAGGCATGTGCGTGCTGCATAATCCAGTTCCAAGCATGAGCCAAGCATCTCCAAATAGCGGATAGTGTAGACAGGGCGGGGCCCGCCATATGCCAGCGGGTCTGTGTGCACCCACCTGATCGAGGGGGAAGTGGCTGCACGCGACATAGAAATTTCTGCGGAGGGGCACCTCAACGGGTCCAGCGCCATCTTGAAATAGCTGAGCGAAAGCATAAAATACACCTTTTTTGCGCGGCAACGTGCACGGCATTCAACAAGTTGTTGGCTTGGGACCACAGCTTGCAATTCTTGAAATCTCCCCGTTGAGTTGTAAGTACCTCACAACCTCCAATCCCCCCACATAAACAACATAATTCGTCCACATATATATATATATATACATATGGATTCACAGTACACTGAGATCTGTCCCCGCGCGCCCGAATCGCTGTTGCACGCTGCGCGGCCGCAAGCAAGCTTTCCAACCACACGACTCTAAACTCAACTTGCATGACACTCGGACTTCTTCTCCAGGGTGCCATCATCATGACTTTGGAATCCTCACATCGTATCTCTGCAGCACCTTCCTCCACTGAGCCTCCGGAAGCAAGAGGTGGGTACAAATGTCGACATGTATCGGTGCGCATATACTTATATGCTGCCATTTATGTATGTATGTATGTGTGTATATATATATATAGAAAATATTCAGATATAGATAGATGTGGCATGGACCTTTATGTATTATTTGACGTTCTCTCTTGTTTTGTATTTAAAAACCTATAAACAAACTAAATCCAAGAAACCTGAAGCACAAATTCACCAATTTCGTTCTCTTAGGGTTTAGGGCTTACGATTTTTAATTTACTCTGTTTTTTGACGCGAACGTACAGACGCAGTCAGATGTTGGCAACGAATACTAGCTATCACTTCTGCTCTTGCGTGGGGGATGATCCAAGCGGTCTCTCGGGTCGAGCTGCGCACCGTTGTGCGCACATTGAAGTGTCCTGTCAGCTGTCGTGCCCAATTGTTGCTTGGTGTGGATCGGCAAAGATCACTGCTACTGAAAGAGGCATCTTCTCATGAAGATGCCCTAACTCTTTCAAGACATCTACATTATCATTCAACGCGTACAGACGTCGGTTCGACAACCTGTAAAACTTCGTACTCTTCTTCACAAACTGAAGTGGACGCGAGTCCTGCAGTGCCCTGAACCGTCTCGTGCAGAAAACACCCCCGCAGAAAATCACTGCCTTTACCGCAAGCATTGGAATCATACAACCGCACAACCCGCTACAGTCCACCTCCGCCACGGACGCACCCATGACCGCAGAAGCCACTGCCCCGCCGATAAGGAGCCGACCAAAAACAAGCAACGACGGCACCCATTGCAAAAGACCTGCGAAAACGTCTCGCGTAATCAGTGACCATCATACAACAATCGGTGAACAATCTTAAGACACTATTTTTGCGGGCAACCAATAGCAACTGGTCGACCAAGCCGATGCCTGAAGACGGCACGGCTGCGGCGCCTCGGAGCTTGTCTTCCTGACTCGGGAAACGGCTGCGGCCGACGCCAAGTCTCGCCAGCTGTCGTGCACAATTGTTGCTTGGTGTGCGTCGACAAAGATCACTGCTACTGAAAGAGGCTTCTTCTCATGAAGATGCCCTAACTCTTTCAAGACATCTACATTATCATTCAACGCGTACAGACGTCGGTTCGACAATCTGTCGAACTTCGTACTCTTCTTCACAAACTGAAGTGGACGCGAGTCCTGCAGTGCCCTGAACCGTCTCGTGCAGAAAACACTCCCGCAGAAAATCACCTTGAGACACATGCCTTTACCGCAAGCATTGGAATCATGCAGCCGCACAACCCGCTACAGTCCACCTCCGCCACGGACACTCCCATGACCGCAGAAGCCACTGCCCCGCCGAGAAGGAGCCAAAAAAAAAAAGAGCAACGACAGCACCCATTGCAAAAGACCCGCGAAAACTTCTCGGATAATCAGTGACCATCATACAACAATCGGTGAACAATCTTAAGACACTAACTTTGCGGACATCAAATAGCAACTCGTTGACCAAGCCGATGCCTGAAAACGGCGCGGCTCCAGCGCCTCGAAGCTTGTCTTCCTCACTGTGTGTTTTTGAGATTTAAAGGAGAACAAGAGAAGAGAAGGGAGAGAGAAAGGAGAGAGGAGAGATCAACAGGAATGCAACTCTAAATGGAAGAGCAATGAAAAGAATGGAAGAGAAATGAGGACAGGCGAAATGCAAAAATCAGGCAAAGAGAAGATGGTGCTCGTTTTCATCTTTCCTCTGGTTCTTATTTTTCTCTTCTCTTGTTCATTTCCGTTAGAAAAAACAAAAGGAATAACAATGAACATGTAAGCAAACCCAGCTGATGCTCATGATTTTTCCTTTCTCCCTCTCTCTCTCTCTCTCCATATATGGGCGATGGAACGGGTGTCCTTGTTGGGCCGTTTCCTGCATCTTCAAGTGAGGAACCTAAGTGTTTTCTTTTGTGCGTTTGAAGACACAGAAAGCGATTAAAAGGGACGTCCATTTTGGATTGGCAGCCAACCCAGCTGATGCTCATGATTTTTTTCTCTCTCTCTCTCTCTCTCTCTCTCTCTCTCTATATATGGGCGATGGAATGGGTGCCCTTTTTGATCGTTTTCTGCATCTTCAAGCGAGGAAAAGGGACACCCCACAAGAAAGCACTTAGGGTGTCCCTTTTGCTCGTTTGAAGACACAGAAAGCGATTAAAAGGGACGTCCATTTTGGATTGGCAGCCAACCCAGCTGATGCTCATGATTTTTTTCTCTCTCTCTCTCTCTCTCTCTCTCTCTCTCTCTCTCTCTATGGGCGATGGAATGGGTGTCCTTTTTGATCGTTTTCTGCATCTTCAAGCGAGGAAAAGGGACACCCCACAAGAAAGCACTTAGGGTGTCCCTTTTGCTCGTTTGAAGACACAGAAAGCGATTAAAAGGGACGCCCGTTTTGGATTGGCAGCCAACCCAGCTGATGCTCATGATTTCTCTCTCTCTCTCTCTCTCTCTCTCTCTCTCTCTCCCTATATATGGGCGATGGAACAGGTGTCCTTTAGATCGTTTTCTGCATCTTCAAGCGAAGAAAAGGGACACCACAAGAAAACACTTAGGGTGTCCCTTTTGCTCGTTTGAAGACACAGCAAGCGATTAAAAGGGGCGCCCATTTTGGATTGGCAGCAAACCCAGCTGATGCTCATGATTTATCTCTCTCCCCATATATGGGCGATGGAACGGGTGTCCTTTTTGGATCGTTTTCTGCATCTTCAAGCGAAGAAAAGGGACACCACAAGAAAACACTTAGTAAGGGTGCCCCTTTTGCTCGTTTCAAGACACAGAAAGCGATTAAAAGGGACGCCCATTTTGGATCGGCAGCAAACCCAGCTGATGCTCATGATTTATCTCTGTCGATATATGGGCGATGGAACGGGTGTCCTTCCTGATCGTTTTCTGCATCTTCAAGGGAGAAGGAAGGGCACCGCCCAAGAAGGAAAAGTAACATCAGATATAGGGAGGGAAATTGAAGAGCTCCTCTCTTTACTTAGTCATTCCCTTTCCTCTCTTCTTATCTGTTGTTTTCTTCGCTTCAAAAAGCAAAATAAGGGAAAAGAGATTTCCTGAAGAGGAGGGAGGGCACCTATTGAAGAGCTCCTGTCTTTACTTAGTCATTCCCTTTCCTCTCTTATCCGTTGTTTTATTCGCTTCAAAAAGCAAAATAAGCGAAAAAGAGATTTCCTGAAGAGGAGGGAGGGCACCTATCTGTAAAGAGCAATCGTTTAGAGGGGAACAGGAGAAGAGGAGCGAGAGAGAAGGACAGAGGAGAGATACAGGGAATCCAATTTCAATAGAACAGCAAAGAAAAGAATCGAAGAGAGATGAATAGAGAAGAGGGAGAGACAAAACAAGGCGCAGAGAAGACGGCACTCTTCTTTATCTATCCTCCCTCCCTTATCTCTCCCTTCCCTCTTTCTTTTCCAGATAAGAACAACTAACGAGGAATAATTATGAAAAGGAGAAGAGTAAGGAAAGGAGCAGAAGAGATAGGCCGAGAAGAGGGATATGATGAAGTACGGCAAGGTCCACGCGCAACCTCTGCTTACCCTGCCACTGTTTTATCCTGCAAGTTCCTTTCTTGTTGTTCATCAGTCAAAAAGTAACAGAAAGAGAGAAGGGAAAGGGAAGTGAGAGAGGAGAGAGAACAAGGATGCCATTTTTCTGGAAGGGTACTGGAAAGAAGAGAAGAGACAGGAAGCAAGGAGACGGAGTGACAAAATAAAGCGCAAAGCTCTACATATATCATCTCTCCCTTGTCTCTCCCTATTCCCTTTTGATGGGACGCCCCAGAACTAAAATATTTAAATCCAGGTATTTGAATAATTAAATTCTTTAAATTATTTAAATGGTTGGGTTTCCAGAGGAACCAATGGATTTGAATAATTAGATTATTTAGATTATTTTGGCGCCTCCT